CACTGCACACACACTACTGTTCAACTACACTACACACACCTACTGTTCAACTACAGTGCACACACACTACTGTTCAACTACAGTGCAACACACTACTGTTCAACTACACACACACACTACTGTTCAACTACACTGCACACACAACTACTGTTCAACTACACTGCACACACACTACTGTTTCACTACACTGCACACACACTACTGTTCAACTACACTGCACACACACTACTGTTCAACTACACTACACACACACTTACTGTTCAACTACACTGCACACACACTACTGTTCAAACTACACTGCACACACACTACTGTTCAACTACACTACACACACACTACTGTTCAACTACACTACACACACACTACTGTTCAACTACACTACACACACACTACTGTTCAACTACAGTGCACACACACTACTGTTCAACTACACTACACACACACTACTGTTCAAACTACAGTGCACACACACTACTGTTTCAACTACACTACACACACACACTTACTGTTCAACTACACTACACACACACTACTGTTTTCAACTACACTGCACACACACTACTGTTTCAACTACAGTGCACACACACTACTGTTCAACTACACTACACACACACTAACTGTTCAACTACAGTGCACACACACTACTGTTCACTACACTACACACACACACTACTGTTCAAACTACACTACACCACACACTACTGTTCAACTACACTGCACCCACACTACTGTTCAACTACACTGCACCCACATACTGTTCAACTACACTGCACACACACTACTGTTCAACTACACTACACACACACTACTGTTCAACTACACTACACACACACTACTGGTCAACTACACTACACACACACTACGTTCAACTACAGTGCACACACACTTACTGTTCAACTACACTACACACACACTACTGTTCAACTACAGTGTGCACACACACTACTGTTCAACTACACTACACACACACACTACTGTTCAACTACACTACACACACACTACTGTTTCAAACTACACTGCACACACACTAACTGTTCAACTACACTACACACACACTACTGTTTCTTCAACTACACTACACACACACTACTGTTCAACTACACTACACACACACTACTGTTCAACTACAGTGCACACACACTACTGTTCAACTACACTACACACACACACTACTGTTCAACTACACTACACACACACACTACTGTTCAACTACACTGCACACACACTACTGTTCAACTACACTGCACACACACTACTGTTCAACTACAGTGCACACACACACTACTGTTCAACTACACACACACTACTGTTCAACTACACTACACACACACTACTGTTCAACTACACTACACACACACTACTGTTCAACTACACTGCCACACACACTACTGTTCAACTAACACTGCCACACACACTACTGCTTCAACTACACTGCACACACACTACTGTTCAACTACACTACACACACACTACTGTTCAACTACACTACACACACACTACTGTTCAACTACACTACACACACACTACTGTTCAACTACAGTGCACACACACTACTGTTCAACTACACTACACACACACTACTGTTCAACTACAGTGCACACACACTACTGTTCAACTACACTACACACACACACTACTGTTCAACTACACTACACACACACTACTGTTCAACTACACTGCACACACACTACTGTTCAACTACACTGCACACACACTACTGTTCAACTATAGTGCACACACACTACTGTTCAACTACACTGCACACACACTACTGTTCAACTACACTACACACACACTACTGTTCAACTACACTGCACACACACTACTGTTCAACTACACTACACACACACTACTGTTCAACTACACTACACACACACTACTGTCTCAACTACACTGCACACACCACTACTGTTCAACTATAGTGCACACACACTTACTGTTCAACTACACTGCACACACACTACTGTTCAACTACACTACACACACACTACTGTTCAACTACACTACACCACACACTACTGTTCAACTACACTGCACACACACTACTGTTCAACTACACTACACACACACTACTGTTCAACTACACTGCACACACACTACTGTTCAACTACACTGCACACACACTACTGTTCAACTACACTACACACACACTACTGTTCAACTACACTACACACACTACTGTTCAACTACACTACACACACACTACTGTTCAACTACACTACACACACACTACTGTTCAACTACACTACACCCACACACTACTGTTCAACTACACTACACACACACACACTACTGTTCAACTACACTGCACACACACTACTGTTCAACTACACTGCACACACACTACTGTTCAACTACACTACACACACTACTGTTCAACTACACTGCACACACACTACTGTTCAACTACACTACACACACTACTGTTCAACTACACTGCACACACACTACTGTTCAACTACACTACACACACACACTACTGTTCAACTACAGTGCACACACACTACTGTTCAACTACAGTGCACACACACTACTGTTCAACTACACTACACACACACACTACTGTTCAACTACACTACACACACACTACTGTTCAACTACACTACACACACACTACTGTTCAACTACACTACACACACACACTACTGTTCAACTACACTACACACACACTACTGTTCAACTACACTACACACACACACTACTGTTCAACTACAGTGCACACACACTACTGTTCAACTACACTACACACACACTACTGTTCAACTACACTACACACACACTACTGTTCAACTACACTACACACACTACTGTTCAACTACACTACACACACACTACTGTTCGACTACACTACACACACACTACTGTTCAACTACACTACACACACTACTGTTCAACTACACTACACACACACTACTGTTCAACTACAGTGCACACACACTACTGTTCAACTACACTGCACACACACTACTGTTCAACTACACTGCACACACACTACTGTTCAACTACACTGCACACACACTACTGTTTCAACTACACTACACACACACTACTGTTCAACTACAACTACACACACACTACTGTTCAACTACACTGCACACACACTACTGTTCAACTACAGTGCACACACACTACTGTTCAACTACACTACACACACACTACTGTTCAACTACACTGCACACACACTACTGTTCAACTACAGTGCACACACACTACTGTTCAACTACACTACACACACACACTACTGTTCAACTACACTACACACACTACTGTTCAACTACACTACACACACACACTACTGTTCAACTACACTACACACACACTACTGTTCAACTACACTGCACACACACTACTGTTCAACTACACTACACACACTACTGTTCAACTACACTGCACACACACTACTGTTCAACTACACTACACACACTACTGTTCAACTACACTGCACACACACTACTGTTCAACTACACTGCACACACACTACTGTTCAACTACACTGCACACACACTACTGTTCAACTACACTGCACACACACTACTGTTCAACTACAGTGCACACACACTACTGTTCAACTACACTACACACACACTACTGTTCAACTACACTACACACACACTACTGTTCAACTACACTGCACACACACTACTGTTCAACTACAGTGCACACACACTACTGTTCAACTACACTACACACACACTACTGTTCAACTACACTACACACACACACTACTGTTCAACTACAGTGCACACACACTACTGTTCAACTACACTACACACACACTACTGTTCAACTACACTACACACACACTACTGTTCAACTACACTGCACACACACTACTGTTCAACTACAGTGCACACACACTACTGTTCAACTACACTGCACACACACTACTGTTCAACTACACTACACACACTACTGTTCAACTACACTGCACACACACTACTGTTCAACTACACTGCACACACACTACTGTTCAACTACACTGCACACACACTACTGTTCAACTACACTACACACACACACTACTGTTCAACTACAGTGCACACACACTACTGTTCAACTACACTACACACACTACTGTTCAACTACACTGCACACACACTACTGTTCAACTACACTACACACACTACTGTTCAACTACACTGCACACACACTACTGTTCAACTACACTGCACACACACTACTGTTCAACTACACTGCACACACACTACTGTTCAACTACACTACACACACACACTACTGTTCAACTACAGTGCACACACACTACTGTTCAACTACACTACACACACACTACTGTTCAACTACACTACACACACACTACTGTTCAACTACACTGCACACACACTACTGTTCAACTACAGTGCACACACACTACTGTTCAACTACACTACACACACACACTACTGTTCAACTACACTGCACACACACTACTGTTCAACTACAGTGCACACACACTACTGTTCAACTACACTACACACACACACTACTGTTCAACTACCCTGCACACACACTACTGTTCAACTACAGTGCACACACACTATTGACCAGAGCTAAATGTTAGTATATATTTTCTATTATCCGTCTGGTTATTTATCAGTATAGTAGAATCAGTTAAATGTCTTCAAGTAAAGCTGCAACCTTTTTATTACAACATCTGTACAACACTGTTCAAGAGTATTCAGTTGTTAAACTGTGTACCACACACACACACACACACACACACACACACACACACACACACACACAGTTCCATATTGTTCTCATTCATGTTATTCTGTCTAATGGTTCCATTCAAATATGTGTGTTAGTCGTTGTGCTCTCTCTGGTCTTATATTAAAATACACATCTGAGATGTCTTCTGTCTTAATTTACAAAACTTTAACCTGAAGTTCACATTACCATTTAACATCCTTTTTATTGCAGACCGGATAAGAGGTTGTCATGTTGATCTCATGCTAACATTGCAGATATTACTCTATAATCCTATACTGTCTGTCTGTCAGGGTACATCCTGTACTACACGCTGGACAAGAACATGCCGATCGATGATTGGGTGATGGAGGCCATCTCAGGGGACAGACTGACCCATCAGGTGGTGGATCTGAACCTGGACACGGTCTACTACTTCAGGATCCAGGCCAAGAACGCCAAGGGAGTGGGTCCGCTGTCTGAGCCAGTCCACTTCAGGACCGCCAAGGGTCAGTCAGAGAGTGTGTGTGTGTGTGTGTGTGTGTGTGTGTGTGTGTGTGTGTGTGTGTGTGTGTGTGTGTGTGTGTGTGTGTGTGTGTGTGTGTGTGTGTGTGTGTGTGTGTGTGTGTGTGTGTGTGAGCGAGAGACGAAAGATCAAGAGTGGCTTAATCTGCAGTGTATACCTTTGTTTTATATTTCATAAGATTGCTAACCCTCTCTGTTTTTGTTTCAGTTGAACATCCTGACAAGATGGCAAATGATCAAGGTAGGCTTTTCCCCACCCAAAAAGGGTGTGTGTGTGTGTGTGTGTGTGTGTGTGTGTGTGTGTGTGTGTGTGTGTGTGTGTGTGTGTGTGTGTGTGTGTGACGGAAGCTTTAAATTCAAACTGGCTTCAAAGTATTGATTTGAAAATCCCTCTTTAGATCGTCTGCCCATTTCATTATTTTTATCATTGCTTTTTAATACAAGTAATGATTTATCAAATTATCTTCAAGCCCTGTCTGATATTCAGAATATTCTGATGCATCACAGTTTAAAAAGGCATGGAAGGAAGGGAAGGAGGGGTGTGCCCAGTATAATCTCAGTCTTGGCATCAAAAGTCTTTAGCAACAGGAAGAGACGGATAAGTCAAATGTGAAAACAGAGACAGTTTCCCTTCTCTTTGTATGACTCATCAAGCTGAAGGAAAGTCGTTTGTTATTTGGCAAGAGATGAAGAAGATGCTTTTGTAGTTATTAATTCAGAGCAATGAGAGACGATGGAAAGAGCTGTTTACCATATGTAAGTTCATCAAATGAACTCAGACATAATGAATGCGCTGTTCATGGTTCTGTTCATCAGCCGCAGAAAAGCAGAACGCTCATAAACACTCCAAACTTTTTAAACGTGCGTCATTTCACTTTGAAATCTTTTGGCCGCGAAGATAACAGGACATATTTCTTTACGTGTAATTAGCATCAGTGTGATTCTGAGACATAATCTCACTAATAGACTGTCGCTGCATTATGATGAACAGATGTCATCATTATAGGGCACACCAACTCCTGTGCTGAGGCTGATGGGGGGGGGGGGGGGGGTGTTTGGAGATAAACACAAAATAAAAAAAGGATTGGAACTATTACAATGTTTGGCCTGATGGTGGGGGTTACAATATGTATTCCAATTATCCCAAGGGGGACATGAATGCACCATAATGTTTAAGAACTATATATTGAGCGCAAATAAATCAGTAGATAAATCAAAATGAAATGAAATGAATCCTGAGAGGGTCATGAATGTCTAAACCAGACGTGATCTCAATCGCAATACATCTAATTGTTTTTTAAATAATATTTAAATTTCACTTAAAAACGTATGTATATGAACATGTTGGATGTTATTTACTCGTCTTCTGGGAACCATGAAGGTTTAACCCTCAGCAGCTGCAGAGAGATCTTTGTGGTGAGACGGCTGACTGAATGCCACCCATAGAAACATGATGCTCAAAGTGTATAAAATACAAAATTGCATGATTAGAGATCCGTATAAAGCCCAGCAAATACAGGCATGATGTGGCACTCTGTCAAAGGTCCTCCCGCTTTCCACAACAGCATTCTGGGAATATTCAGTGCAGCTGGACTTAAGTGCAGTGAAGCGACGGGGACACTGGAGCAGAGAGGTGTCAGGGTGTTAAACGCTGCTGTTTGTCACCGGGAGATGTGTGTGTCTCTGTGTGTGTGAGGGATGTGCTGCTACACACTCCCTCTCCATATCAATCACAAGGGTTCTCAGGGGAGAAGATTGATGTTAGGCCTTGATACTGTGCACCTTACACTGTAAACACACACTTCTGATTGTGTGTGTGTGTGTGTGTGTGTGTGTGTGTGTGTGTGTGTGTGTGTGTGTGTGTGTGTGTGTGTGCGTGTGCGTGTGCGTGTGCGTGCGTTTGTGTATTTTCAGATTGATCTGAAATTCCAATTTTTTATTAAAATCACTTCTGTAGCTTCAATCTGCAAAGGAACCTCACCCCGGCCAGCTTTTAGTTTGAAATGTGTGAGAATTATGTATCGCCTGGCTTTCATTCCTTAGAATAGGGAGTTCTTTAGACTCAGTTTCCTGTGGAGGTTTGGAAATCTCTTTCATCAGTTTTCAATCTCTGTTATATAGCAGCCTCTGTGATGATCTGTTTCTGACTTCTTTACATTTCCTCCTCCAGATTTCCAAATGAACACTCTGGCTCAGATGCTGGGGAAAAGTTTGGCTCTTTAGGAGAAATCAGAAAAGTGCTTCAGCCTTGTTGGCTCAGTTTGGACGTGTTGGAGCAACAAGGATTTAGCTTTGGTGCTAAGAACATGTAGCTATCCTCTGTGTCTGCTGACTGTATGTTAGTGAGCCGTTTTCCTTTAACCAGGCGGTTAGCTCTGTGGGTTCTCTTTAGGTAAACAGCTGAATATACATAGCATCTTCGTTTCTTACCCAGAAATCCAGAGGCCAAAAAGTGTTTGTGCTGGAAAACACACTCTGCAAGTCGTTACTATGGGAACCATTTTATTCCCAATACTTATAAAGTGTTAGAATCTATGCAGGTCGATATAACCTGAGAGTGTGTGGTGTGTGTGTGTGTGTGTGTGTGTGTGTGTGTGTGTGTGTGTGTGTGTGTGTGTGTGTGTGTGTGTGTGTGTGTGTGTGTGTGTGTGTGTGTGTGTGTGTGTGTGTGTGTGTGTGTGTGTGTGTGTGTGTGTACAATCCTAACAAAGTCATGTATTTCCTGACAAAGAACCAGTTTCTATTCGATTGCTCTATTCCATCTGCAAAATGACTCTCAGCTTCTCCGTCGTTTCCTGTTTCTGTCTCTGCTCCTTCCTAAAGTTCCTGTTTGTTGCTCATTTCCCAGGGCGAGGGGAGACCACGCCTACTGGCCGTCTGACGCCAACCTGATTGACAGGAGCAGCATCAATGGTAACACACACATACACACACACGCATACACACACACATACGCACACTTTTCTTCTGCTCGACCGAAACTAACCGTCAGAAGTGAAATAACATTCCGGGTTATTCTGGGACTCTTTACTGTAGCTGTAGGAGCTGAGTGTGTGTGGAGGACATTGTGCCGCATCATTAGATTATCACAGCGACTCAGCGTTGTTCTCTTTGATCACTGTGCTCAGCCATGTCTAAACCCAGTGAAATGACTGTGCGTCTTGCAGAGGAGCTGATTTACATCCGTTAGCATTGCTTCCTGTCTTCTGTGGGATCGCTGCAGGCAGGAATAATTCATTAGATTCACAATCTCAACATCAATCAGTGTTTTTACTAACTGGAGAAAATTGTCTGGAGGTGGAGGAACAGGGTTAAGAGTGTGGCATATACATCTCCTGTCTGTATTTTAAATATACTGCCAAAAACAACAACAACCACATTATTGTGAAACGTTTTTGAATAGCACAATAATAGAGGGAAATATGAGTCTGTAGATTTTACAACTAAGAATACCTAAATGAAATGTTTGGTTTGGAGGATCACAATGAATAATTACTATTACAGCCCTACGCTTTTCATATTTACATAGAAAGAATGTACTACTTGAAATTGCTCTTTTAACCTCTTAAGCACGGCGGTCCCCCCATTGGACCCCCCCTCACCGTTTTTTTTTCGAGATAATGTCTCAGGGCTTCTTAACATTTATGAAACTATTAATGTGTAGCACCAGATTAACGGGAAGAATCTCAGCTAACTGAAGATATGAACCATTTTTACCAAAACAAAACACAAGTCTCATAAGAAGGGTCTAAATGACCCCTGAGCGAAAAAATTCTAACGCACTGCGGCACACAATTCAAGATAAAGATACCCTTATTACTTATCGTAGCTGCACATACAATATAGCCTATTAAAGCTGAGACTCCACTGATTATTTAGGTATAGTATCATCACTGAGCGATCCGAGCTTGCGACAAGGGAAGCAAACACAGACATCACAACACGTACCTTTACGGAGCTTTTACGGCAGATCGTCTCACCGTAGCTGTCAATTAGGTCAAAAGACGTGTTCAATGGCATTAAAACGAAACAAAAAAATGCTACAACTGTTGATCCATAGGTTGATAATGTACCTGTACCTTTTAAAAAATTATTTATAATCCATAATTCCATTTTTTATGTAAAAATCGGAGCGGAAAAGTTAGCTGCTAATGGTAGCCACAATAGCCAAAATAAAAAACATCTATATTGATTCTGACTTTTCTACATCCAACTCACAGGTTTATCATTACTTTGAGAATAAAGATGATTAATTTAACCCTTTTAGAAGGGAAGATATGGTCATTTGTTCTGGGAATGTCATTTTCGAGCCTGAGACCTGAAAAACAGGCTCAGGGCTTAAGAGGTTAAATATAATTAATGCTCACATACTGTAAAGAGATATTTACCCTCAAGACAAACACTGTTTTCCAAAGCAATGCCAGGATATAGAATTATCTATAGAGAGCTTAAGTTACCTATTATTGTTACTTCAATGAGCCAATGAGGTCTCATACTCATACTTATGCTGCTGGTAATGCTAATTGGTTTTGTAATATGGGCCATAAAGGTATACCCATTCTTTAAAAGCGATGTTTAGTGTCTCTATGTGTCCCGGGTCAGCCTGTGGAGCTCACTGAGTGCTCATGTATCCTCCACTCCTCCACTCACACTCTTATAACGTGGCCGTGTTGAGGGACTCATGTGGACCCAGCAGCTCCACTCCCTGAATGAGACCAGAGGAATGAGACCAGAGGAATGAGACCAGAGGAATGAGACCAGAGGAATGAGACCAGAGGAATGAGACCAGAGGAATGAGACCAGAGGAAGGCTCTCTCCATCAGGAGAACATCCAGAAACAAAGAGAACATCCATGCAGTCAAATCTCATTTCAGTAACCTACATTAATTATAATGTAATGCTGATGGTTATACTTGTGCTAATGCTGTTTTAATGCTCACAGCCCTTACACTAATGCTTATAGAATTCTCTGCTCCACACTATTGTAACACTAAAAGCTGCTGGTAATACCAGCTGCTGCTGACCCAGAGAGGTCACAGTTCAGGGTCAGTAGCTGGCCAGTGTCTTACGGACAAGCAGCATGTGTGCTTGCGTGTGTGTGTGTGTGTGTGTGTGTGTGTTTGTGTGTGTGTGTGTTTATGTGTGTGTGTGTGTGTGTGTGTGTGTGTGTGTGTGTGTGTGTGTGTGTGTGTGTGTGCCCCCCCCCAGGCTTTATTTAGGTCAGTGAGGGCAGAGTCTTGTGCGTCACCTTCACTGTATTTCCTCTGAAAAGCGTGTCACCCGTCACACTGCAGAGCTTCCTCTCACTTGAAAAACGAGCTGAAGAGATTATTCACCCTGCAATCTTTCCAACAGGTCTCCTTTCTTTAGAGCTCTATTGGCGCATTTCCATTGCAGGGCCTCGCTCGGCTTAGTACGGTATAGTTAGGCCTTGTTAGGCCTTGTTAGGCAAGGCTCACTTTATGCTGCGTTTCCATTACAGTTTAGTAGCTGGGGCAGTAACTATAGTAACGCAGTGTAGGCGGAGCTGTGACGCCATCTTCAATGAGAATCACACAAAAACAACATCAGCCGTTAGCTGTTAGCACTCAGAGCTCACAGCTCCTCATATCTGTTCAGAAACTAGACAAAAGTGAAACAAGTACAAACCACAGACTGCCTGTGTCATGGTGAATACAGTCGCTGCTTTATTTATGTCTGTATAGGCCGTTGTTGTGAGTGTGGACGGACGGAGCATACACTGCGTTAGCTTAGCCGATCTCCATTTAGCAGGGTTGCCAACTCTCACGCATCTGGCGTGTGACACACGCTTTCACTCTCAATCTCACGCTCTCACGCTGCCCAAACTATTCTCGCGCCAAAAACAAGAATACGAAGACTAGAAACGGTTTTGAAAACTTTTGTCACGTAGTGATCGTCTTCTCAATAGAACATCTTTGATAATGTCTTCTGGCCAATCAGAATCACGATAACGGCGTGGTGTTGTTGCAGGAAGTCCCGACGGAGAATACTTTTGCTGTAGTACATCTCTATATACATAGATACAACATTACTTGTTGATAGAAATCAACACGTAATGAAATAAGACCCCACGGTTTGATGATTGATAGGTGTGTGGGCTGTCTTTCATTTTGACACACAGAACAATGGGGGCTATCCACCCTTATCCACAATGTAAAGTAATTCACACAGCCTCTTCCCTCTTCTCTCTGTGAGGAGCAGCAGGTTCAGCTTTCAGAACAAAGTCACAAAAAACTAAAATGGCATTCATTTTTTTAAATATGTCGTGTAGTAATAGATTTATTTATTTTTCTTCTCAAGAGAGTACCAGAATGTGTATTTTATGTTAGTATTTAAAAAAGTCTCAACTCTTTCACCTGTGGGGAAATTGCAGGATTGGCTCCAGGTCGCCCTTTTTATTTACTACAAGACAAATGTGCCTTTTTATTTCATACAGTTCAATTTGGATTGAGAGAGACAGGGAAATAATCTAAAGCTAACGCGTGGCGTTTCACTGACAAGGGGGGCGATATAGCGTGTATGTAATTCTATATATACAGTCTATGATGTAATTACATTGCAAATACTGACTTGAGCCCCACCACTGTATGGGTTAGCCCTACCATAGATTACCCAACAAAAATACTCTGGAGCCGCCACTGCCGACCCGTATTGCGCATGCGCAGATCTAAGATCCAGTAGAAATGATAAAAAGTAAAAGTCTGCTGCTTATTGTTCTACTAGGCCAAAATAGAGTCAAAGAGTATATGAGAGTGAGAGTGTGTTAATTAATATATTTGGCAGTTTGGAGTAAGTCTGTAGATTTGTTTGTGTGTGTGTTTCATGTATAGGCCCCTCACGATAATTAATTTTGTTGGATACATTTTCCCGGAAATTATTGCGATAAACGATAATATTGTCGGCACCGTTGTATGACCATTTTAGACCACTGACATAATGATAATATATAATAATAATTCAAGTACATCCTTTCAAACTGCTAGTCCCATCCTCATGTAAATGGCAATTTATCGAGGTCAGAAAAGTTATCGAGTTCATTTTTATTTATCGTACGATAAGTCAATTAATTGCTTATCGCGACAGGCACACAATAAAACAGTGGAAACAAACATGTTTGACTTTCATTAGTGAATGAAACTGTGTGCCCTTTATAGTCTGTGTCCATTATTGTGTATTTGTATATATTGTATATATATCCTATATATATGCTAAGGTCCCGCTGCTGACACGATAGCAGTCATTTCGTGCGCATATGTGTAATTAAACCGAATTAAACCCATGATATCAAAATCTCACTCAAGCCAGGTACCCAAAGTTGGCAACCCTCCATTTAGACAACATGCATTTTAAAAGGTTTTTCGCCTGCCGTCTGTCTGCAGACTTGTCAAAGCATTAATTCATGGTTTTTACTAACCGGTATCAGTATGTTGATACTTCGGCATCATTTTGAAACGTGTATTACAATTAAATCACGGTCAAATATGTTCATCTTGTTGTAGTTGTAGCCCCCTTGCCAGCGATTCTCTCTCTAGTTTAGCATACTCAGCCCGACTCAGCCTGGTTATTGGCCCGCTAAGAACCTCGATTTTATGGGGCCAGAAAAACTGTGAAATAGTACCTGCTAGCCGGTACTACGCCAAGTGGAAACACAACCAAAAACGTGCCGTGCACTGACTCTGTTTTGCAGTTACACAAGATATAAAATCCTCATCAATATTAATACAACATAGTACACGATAGAAGACTTACCCTACAATTATCTATCTAATATGGTTTTCTATCCCTATCTGCATGGCTAAAATAAGAGTAAGTTTCCTACACGATGTGTTACAAAAGGTTTACCTAGGTTACATGTACAATTCATATCTATGACAATGCAGTGATATGATCCATTAACCCTGTAAAGCCCAAATATAGAAAAACATTATAATTTATTTTTGAAGGGAAATGTTGTAATTACATGTTACTTGTTAGACGCTTTTATCCAAAGCGACTTACATACTCAATACTGTGGGCAATCCCCACAGGAGCAATTTGGGTTGAAGTGTCTCAGGGACACAACGACATGCTGACTGCAGTGGGGTTTGAACCTGTGACCACCTGATCCCCATACAAAGGCCCCTCCACTGCGCCACACGCCAATATTGCAACGTAGGGCTTAGGTGGGAGCAGCATTTCGGTATTTCTACTCACATTGTCTGAATAAATATATTGAACAACTACATTGACTCTTTAAGTGTTAACACTTTAACACTGAGCCAGTGAACATATCGTCCTTATCTCAGAGTGTTAAATTAACACTCCGGATTTGACTGTGTATGCTTATTATATTGTAATAGATTACCTGAAGGAATCGATAGGGTGGTGGGACAAGTGTTCATTCTGTCTGGCTTAGCCTATTATCATACTAAAAGGAATGCATTTGCATTTGTGTTTTATTTCCATATGTGAACATATAAGAAGGGCAGGGTCCATGACAGGTGCTCATGCTATTTTGACTACCACACTAACCCAGTGTTGTAATATTACAACAAAGACATAAGCTGCTCAAAACCAAATTTGATGAATGTATTCCACAATAACTAAATATGTACATGTTCTAGACATTGTAATAATTAAAAAAATATTTGAGGCATTTTACTTACTTGAATCTGACAAATCCAGTCCAATAAAACAAAGAAATGTTGCTCGTTTGAAGATTGGGAAGTTGTGTGAGTGTATGGCCAGAGGGCAGGACCTATAAACACATTTACTACCCAATAGCATTGTGAGGCTCTGGTCTTTAAAAAAACAATTTTTTAGGATAGCTTAAAGCAATGTTGTAAAATTACAACCGTGGGCCTTACAGGGTTAACTACATCGTTTGGTTTACAAAGAAACATTAATAGTTAAAAAAGTACCCAGAAATTGTAATTGCTGGCTGCAACAAGAAAGCAAAGTATACATTACATATTACATAGATGATACACTTAAAACATGCCCCTCTTTTAGTTCTCTCATTATCAAATGAAATCAGAACATCACTTGACTGTTGACCAGAGGGAGAAGCATTTAGATCACCATATTAAAAACCACTGTCTTCCATTGGGGGCTGCAGAGGTTGTTAGGCTCTTGTTCTCATCAGTTCCTGCGTGTCAGCTGCTGCTCCCGTCACACAGCAGTCATTTATAACTAGACACTTTGTCTGTTACAGTCCATATAACGCTCATTTATTGTATGACACAGCTCTTAATGGTAACTCACATACTAATTATATCTGCCACCATGCCATTTGCTTTACTTATTGTGACCTGGGAGGTTGGATTTTAATATTTTTTGTATTGTTTCCTTATTTTAGTTTGATCATGATTTCAATTCAACAATCATGCCAAGTAACTTCTGAAGATGCTCATAAACATGACTAACATGCTAAACTCTAATATTAAGTGTCCGATCCTTGTCAACATTTTCCCTTCAATTCATACCAGTTTACATCATTATTTCCATGAAACCTACTGGGAGGTTATTATTAATGATCCATTATTATTATATTATCCATCTTCCACAGTGGAAGGCCCAAGTAGAGTGTTCTGATATACCAGGACCGTAAAGCCTTGGATTCAGCTGTCGGCTGTCGGAGAGTATGAGTCGATGAAATATCAGTTTGTCATATCGTTTGACAATCCATTTATGCTGTACGGAGATGACATGGCTGCTGCTAGCTGTTAGAAGGAATCTGGAAGGAACAATGGAGTTGGAACGTCTTTGATACCCTGGACATGGCAGGCTGTTCTCAGTGTTTATAGGAAAAGCACAGGTCTTATAATAACATTTAATAAAAACCCAGAAGCTAAGAGTCATCATTAAAGACACATGTAAATGAACTGCCAACTTCTATTTCCGTATGTTGATTATTCTATCTGTCTCCTGCTACATGCTAAATAGTTGTATTGCTATGTAAAAATTCCTCCTTTTCCTCGAAAACAATTGACTTTTTGCTGACTCATTATTATTCTGAAATGGACCAATCTGCACAATGACTACTTTTACTGTCGCTACTTTCACTATATAGAATACTTTTCTACTTTTACTTGAGTAACATTTTGAATGCAGGACTTTTACTGTAACAGAGTATTCCTACACTCTGGTACTTCTACTTTTACTCAAGTACAAGATCTGAGTACTTTCCCCACCTGGGGTAACTGACCCTGCTGGGGGGGTGTACAGTGTATGGAGGCAGCGTGTTGTTCTCGTACTGATATCTCAACAACTGCCAGTTAGATTGAATGGTATCCCCTCCCCCAGAGGTAGAACCCCCCACATTGGAATGGCCTGAGGACCTTCCTCAGCACCTTAAAGCAAAGGGCCAGAGTTCTGTTAGAAATGACATGAAACTTGTTTTCCAAGAAAAAGGAAAGGAGGATCAAATGTAACTAAAAGCAGGGAAAGGGAAATGGTGCAGCTGCAGTGTGATGGATGGTGCTTCTCATTGAGAGAGACCACTGAGCGCAGAGAAAGGGAGAGAGACCACTGAGGCGCAGAGAAAGGGAGAGAGACCACTGGAGCGCAGAGTAAGGGAGAGAGGCGAGGGAGGTCAACTACCTCTCACATGTTTTCCTTCATGACATTTCAACCATCTTCTGCACTCTCTCCTTTCTTCAGAATTGCCTTCAATGCCCTTTCTCTTTCTCTCATCTTATCACTCCCCCATCTCTCTTCCTCTCTTCAACCTCATCTCTCCTGCTCCTCATCTTCTCCTCTGCCGCTCCTCTCCTCTCCTCTCCTCTCTTCTCCTCTCCTCTCTCTCTTCCTCTCCTCATCCTCTCTCTCTCCTCTCTCCCTCTCTCTCCTCTCCTCTCCTCTCTTCTCCTCTCCCTCCTCCTCTCCTCTCCTTCTCCTCTCCTCTCTTCTCTCCTCTCCCTCTCTCTCTCCTCATCCTTCTCCTCTTCCTCCTCTCTCCCCTCCCTCCTCTCTCTCTCTCTTCTCTATCCTCTAATCTCTGCCTCTCTTTCTCCCTCCTCTCCTCTCCTCACCACTTCATGCTCCCCCTTGTGTTTCCCATTTTCTCTCTCTCTGCTCCAAGGTCGGGTTAATGAATGACAGAGCATGTCATCAATCCCCTCTCTCCCTTTACACCTGTCACACGTACACGTACACGTACACGTACGTACACCACACACACACACACACACACACACACACACACACACACACACACACACTGTGTATTGACTGGTAGCAGAAGCATTGTGTTTTCATGCCAGGCTTTCTTAAATGTTCCTTGTCGTTAAATCACTAATGTTTAAAAACAGAAATATGTATGAAATCAGTTATTTCCTATTGCATATGTACTGTACACTTGAATGAAACACTGAGATACAGTGAATGAACAGCATCATGGAGATTTGAGAGAGAAATGCCTATATTTATTTTTCAGTTTTTGTTCTGGGATTCAAATAATAATTGTTTTATACACAATAACTCACTTACATCTTGAGTCTTCATGTCATGGTAACATAGCCTATGTCGGCTTTCATAACGAAGCAACTTCTGCGGACATGAAAATAAACTATGACAACATTTTAATTATAATTCTAAATAGCAATTGTGAAATAAAAAGCTTGAAATTCAAGGTATTTTGTCAAATGCATGGTAATCATTCAAAAGTGTCTGGTTTTCGTTTCACATATGTCCAAGTCAACTGTTATGAAGTTGACTATATGAAAAATGGTTTGCAAAAGTTAAAGTGTTTAATATTTGATTTTACCTTCTTGTCTTTTGTACCTAACAGAGTCTCCCATTGGTCAGATGCGCCCCCCCCACGGCAGCGCCACGCCTCAGAAGAACAGTAACCTGCTGGTGATCATCGTGGTGTCGGTGGGGGCCATCACTGTGGTGGTGGTGGTCATCGTGGCCCTCATCTGCACCCGGCACTCCTCCGCCCAGCAGAGGAAGTAAGAGGCTGAAACCGGTCTGAACCTGTGTTCAAATCAAATCTCTAACTGTTTACTTACACCTGGGATGGACCTGACCTAAGTGGCTAATTACATCTGGTTCATTTCTTTAATTTCAATCCCATTCATCAGCTTTCAGTCATTGTTGTTGTGTAATCGTATTATATACATATCGTATAAGCATTATTTCACATTTCACAATGTCCTTTACATATATTATATCACAAACTCAATTACAATTCTTTTAATGTTCTGTCCTGGTTGGTTTTGCAACATCTTTTAGCAGCCTCTTTGTCAAAAATACAACACCATCACCCAGAACCAAAACAAAGCTACAATGCAGAGAGGAAATGTAAATACGTGATAGGTAGTAGAATCTGTTGTATTTAAGATGCTGGTTCATCACATTTCAGATGGTAGTATTTGTATAATCAGGTTCATGAAGGTAGAGATGATATGTTATTATGTGGTTCATATTGTTTCAGACAGTACTATTGTATAATCCAGTTTATCCTGTTGTAGAGGTATTATTCTGTAATCCGTTTCATGACATCTCATAATCCCATTATTCAAATTTCAGGTTTGTTTAATTTTATAATCCAGTTCCTGATATTTCAGACAGTACTATTGCATAATCCAGTTCATGTTCTTTCAGGCAGTATTATTTTATAATCCAATTCAAGACATTTCATAATCCTATTTGTCAAATGTCACCGCTGTTTAATCTTTTAATCCAGTTCATGGCGTTTCAATAGGTGTTTTATTGCAATCTGGTTTGACTGGTTTTAGATGATTTAGGTTAGTGATATTTTATAATGTACCTCAACAAATCTAATAGGTTTGTTGCAGCACAACAGATCAGACCCCACCTCTCCATGCACATCCTGTCTGCTGCTGTGTTTTCTGTGAATGCAGTAAACATGAGCCAGGCTGCACTCTGATGTTTCTGTCATGGTGCCTTCATGCTCTGCTGGAATTTAGAAGTTTGCTTTGTAACATGACTGTATAAGCATTCCACCCATAATACACTGTGTTGTCCATTTACATTGGTCTGTCTCCTGTTCTTCCTCACGTTTACCTCACTTCCTCACATGTTTACCTCACTTCCTCACATGTTTACCTCCCTTCCTCACATGTTTACCTCCCTTCCTCACATGTTTTACCTCCCTTCCTCACATGTTTACCTCCCTTCCTCACATGTTTACCTCACTTCCTCACATGTTTACCTCACTTCCTCACATGTTTACCTCCCTTCCTCACATGTTTACCTCCCTTCCTCACATGTTTACTTCCCTTCCTCACATGTTTACCTCCCTACCTCACATGTTTACCTCCCTTCCTCAAATGTTTACCTCCCTTCCTCACATGTTTACCTCCCTTCCTCACATGTTTACCTCACTTCCTCACATGTTTACCTCCCTTCCTCACATGTTTACCTCCCTTCCTCACATGTTTACCTCCCTTCCTCACATGTTTACCTCATTTCCTCACCTATCTCGTCCTCTGTGCAGGAAGAGAGCGAGCCACAGTGCCAGTAAGAGGAAAGGCAGCCAGAAGGACCTGCGGCCCCCTGACCTGTGGATCCACCATGAGGAGATGGAGATGAAGAACATGGAGAAAGCTCCGAGCATCGCCCCGTCCGGACGTGATTCACCCATCCAGTCCTGCCAGGACCTCCCCCAAGTGGCACACAGCCAATCAGAGAGCCAGATGGGCAGTAAGAGCAGCCACTCAGGTACAAGATGGATGCTGATTCATGTATTTATTAATTCACATATATTTTATGTAAATAACAGTTATTCACTTTTGTAAACCTGTTTTATTTGATAATTATGATGCTTTATCTTTTTTTACATAGCTGTAAAATCAAGCCTGATTGATCATGAGTGTTTTAAGTGACTTTCTCCCAGTAGAAAATGAGTCAGTGGAACTCATTTTAAATTCTTGTTTAACAGCTTAAATGACGGAGAGGAAATATTTGAATCCCTGTTTGAATATGTGAATGCGTGGATGTTGCAGGAGCTGACGGAGACGAGGCCTCCAGCTGTATCTCCACCCTGGACCGCTCGCTGACTGGCAGGAGGGGAACACGAGGCAAAATGATGATTCCTATGGACTCACAGCCGAGCAACACACGTAAGTAACACATGTATGTGTGTGAGTGTGTGGGTACCTACATGCTAAATGCTAACAATGGTTATGCTTATACTGATGTTCAGCAGTTATATTTTATCAGGTTCAAGTTTACTGTGTTAGTATTGTTTGATTTTCTTATTAGTATTACAAATAGTCATAGTTTTCCATTATTTTGCAGGTATTTAGTTGTGAACAAAAATGTTGGACACATGCTAATTATTCTTAATGATGGTGCTGAAGGATCATCAACGTTAATATGATTTTACCCTTGGAGGCGAGGTCTCGTTTATTCTATCATTAAAGGTTTCTCAGAGGCGCAAAATGGTGGCCAGGAACAGAATTTTCTAAATAAAATAACAGGAAACAGACGTAGGCCTATAAGGGACATTTCGAGCATCATTGCGATACACACCCACTGAACTGATTACCCAAGATCCTCAGCTATGGTTTAAGCTCGGTGATTGGATGTTTTAGCCGCAATGCACGTTGGGATATGGTGTTAATGCAATATGAAATCCGAAAAACATTTCGGAGTTTAGGATGGCCGAAGACACTACACTACCCATAATCCTCAGCTATCGTTTGGGACTACAGTCCCTTTGCCTGACAAACCCCGTGATTAATCTTCAAGCTCTGGGATTGGATGTTCAAACAGCACTTTGAAATGGAACGAAACCACGGCAGACTATCCAAAACTGGACTCGAACGGGACCAGCCCCCCCAGAACTACACATACTTTTTTAAACATTTATCTGCAGATCCCTATAAAGTATATTCATTACTCGTTATTCTCTACTAATAGTTAATTAAAAACTGTATATAATGGCTATTTTGCACATCCCTTTCAAGATTTCAAGATTTTCTAAGGTTTATTGACATATCATATACACAACTACGGTGTAGTTATGCAATGAATGAAACACTTGGGTCACAGGTTCCTCAACAGTGCATTACAAGACATCTATCGATATCTGTGTACCTCCACCATTACATCGTCATATTCTGCACATTTCTTATACATTACATGTTACTTGTTAGACGCTTTTATCCAAAGCGACTTACATACTCAATACTGTGGGCAATCCCCACAGGAGCAATTTGGGGTGAAGTGTCTCAGGGACACAACGACATGCTGACTGCAGTGGGGTTTGAACCTGTGGTCCCCTGATCCGAACACCAACGCTCAACCCACTGCACCACACGCCTTATACTATCTAAGAGTACATTTTATTATACATCTTATAAGAGTATAATTAATATGTATAATATCAGTTAAAAGAAGTGCTTCAACATAGTTAACATTGCAGGAAAGCAATGTATTAGACGTTAAGTACTTTGTCAGGCTTAATATTTATGTGTAGATACCCCCAAAGCTTTTTTCTTATTTAAAAGAAGACCTTAACCTAAAGTATTCTTTAATGTGTTAATAAAGGTTTATTAGTTTGTCTGTTTTGCACATCCTCCTATTAATATCTTTGTACATCCGGCACTAAACTGTTTTATTGTAGAGATCACTTACAGTATCTTCTTGATTTTTTATATTCTATATTTCTATCATTGACCTTCTACTTTCCCCTTATGAAAGTATGTACTCTTAATATTTTTTTCATCAAATATAACATATTAAAACAATAATTAAATAACGTGCTTTAACCACTAGGCGGTGCACACAAGGTACACACAGCCATAATAACTTTGTATTATTAGTGTAGGACACTTATGTATGTATAACATCTGAAGATGTGTAGTTTTATTCATGTTTTCACATAATTGTACAGGATATTGCTATGCTATTTCACATGTTTTACTTCTACACATTAATATCTGATTTGTATCACAGACAGAAAGGTATATTCGTCATTTAATGGTAAGCTATTGAAATTGTGAATCCATATATGTGTCTCCCATCACCCAAATCCCCTGACTATTCTTTCAACTCAGTATTTACATTGTTATATTCATAGAAAATCAGTAATATCTTTAAAAACTACAAGTCCTTTTCTATCAGCTGTGCACCGTTATGGTGTAAATATAACCTATCTACCAATTGGATCAAATATAAAAGTCAGCCGAATTACTATTGATACTGCAAGGAGACGTATTTTGTGAAGAGAAATTGATGATGTTGTTTAATTGCTGATATATTTATGATCCACGTCACGTATTCAGTTTCGGTGGCACTTCTTCCAGTTTGTCTAGAACCGTGTATTACAATGCCGTTATGTGATGACTTTCAAAGAGAAAAGCAAGTACACTCGGAATAAAGTATTATTTTTATTTTTTTTAAATGTTTTTCGGATTTCACATCGCATAAACACCATATCCCAACGTGCATTGCGGCTAAACAATCCAATCACCGAGCTTAAACCATAGCTGAGGATCTTGGGTAATCAGTTCAGTGGGTGTGTATCTGTTTCCGGTTATTTTATTTTGAAATTCAGTTCCTGACGGACGCCAAAAAAGCCAGAGATTATAGAATTAAACAAATAAATAAAACAAGGATAATTGTGTGTTATTGTTGAGTAAATAACTGTGTGTTATTTAGAAAAGAATAACAAATTAGAAGGAAAAAAAAGATTTAAAAAATACAGATTTCAGTATTCTGAGGCTCTGAGCTCCATTTGTTTTCCTCACGGACGGCAAAAAAAGTCCGACATGATACGATTTAAAATAAAAACAATAATCGTGGCTTGATATTGACACGAAAAAAAGTGGTGTTGGTGAACACGAATCAATAGATTAAATGTCGTGAAGTATTAACCTAAAGTAATCTTTAATGTGTTAATAAAGGTTTATTAGTTTGTCTGTTTTGCACATCCTCCTATTAATTGCTTTGTACATCCGGCACTAAACTGTTTTATTGTAGAGATCACTTACAGTATCTTCTTGATTTTTTATATTCTATATTTCTATCATTGACCTTCTACTTTCCCCTTATGAAAGTATGTACTCTTAATATTTTTTTCATCAAATATAACATATTAAAACAATAATTAAATAACGTGCTTTAACCACTAGGCGGTGCACACAAGGTACACACAGCCATAATAACTTTGTATTATTAGTGTAGGACACTTATGTATGTATAACATCTGAAGATGTGTAGTTTTATTCATGTTTTCACATAATTGTACAGGATATTGCTATGCTATTTCACATGTTTTACTTCTACACATTAATATCTGATTTGTATCACAGACAGAAAGGTATATTCGTCATTTAATGGTAAGCTATTGAAATTGTGAATCCATATATGTGTCTCCCATCACCCAAATCCCCTGACTATTCTTTCAACTCAGTATTTACATTGTTATATTCATAGAAAATCAGTAATATCTTTAAAAACTACAAGTCCTTTTCTATCAGCTGTGCACCGTTATGGTGTAAATATAACCTATCTACCAATTGGATCAAATATAAAAGTCAGCCGAATTACTATTGATACTGCAAGGAGACGTATTTTGTGAAGAGAAATTGATGATGTTGTTTAATTGCTGATATATTTATGATCCACGTCACGTATTCAGTTTCGGTGGCACTTCTTCCAGTTTGTCTAGAACCGTGTATTACAATGCCGTTATGTGATGACTTTCAAAGAGAAAAGCAAGTACACTCGGAATAAAGTATTATTTTTATTTTTTTTAAATGTTTTTCGGATTTCACATCGCATAAACACCATATCCCAACGTGCATTGCGGCTAAACAATCCAATCACCGAGCTTAAACCATAGCTGAGGATCTTGGGTAATCAGTTCAGTGGGTGTGTATCTGTTTCCGGTTATTTTATTTTGAAATTCAGTTCCTGACGGACGCCAAAAAAGCCAGAGATTATAGAATTAAACAAATAAATAAAAACAAGGATAATTGTGTGTTATTGTTGAGTAAATAACTGTGTGTTATTTAGAAAAGAATAACAAATTAGAAGGAAAAAAAGATTTAAAAAATACAGATTTCAGTATTCTGAGGCTCTGAGCTCCATTTGTTTTCCTCACGGACGGCAAAAAAAGTCCGACATGATACGATTTAAAATAAAAACAATAATCGTGGCTTGATATTGACACGAAAAAAAGTGGTGTTGGTGAACACGAATCAATAGATTAAATGTCGTGACTATAACACGACATGCCGTGAGACTGGGTTGAGTGGGCATGCATAACACGGCGCCCCCCCCCCCCCCCCCGTTGACAGTTCACGAGCATGCCTCCCCCCCCCCCCCCCCCCCCCCCCCCCCCCCCCCCCGTCAGGGTTGTGTAAAGGCCGACGGGTAATACTGGATTTTGACGCAAATCTTACGATCCTGTCCGTCAAACTGACGGGCAGGGATAAGTATAGCGCAACCTCTGGTGTGATATGTGGGTCACAGCCTTCAGGCTCACACACACACCTGTCCTCCACTCTCATGTCACTTCTCTCTTTCTGGGTGTTGCTCTCTGTCATGTAGTTTGATCCTTGATCCGAGAGAATGGAGTTTTGATGGAAACATATTTTTGATTATCAGGCTGCTGAGGGAGGATGCATTCAGTCTTTCTGAGGAGTCTCTTTCTTCTTTCCTTCTTTCACCTTTTGGCTTTTGTTTTATTGAAAAGGTATTCTGCAGTGGGTGAACCATTCCTGTTGCACAACAAAATGGCCAGTACAATACTCAGCCATTATATCTGTAATTGGTGTGCTTTCATTGACAACATACATAACAAATACTTGATGTGTTCCTGTCAGAAGAAATGAGAGCAATAAGGAAGAGAGGATCTTTGATGAGTATGTTAGTGACGCTAACTGTAGCATGTCGTACAGTTAGCGTTGATCCTCTCTTCCTTGTTTAGAATATTCACAGTGATGTTGTTTTAGTATCAACTTACATACATACCTACTACATTTCTGCCTTTAAATAAAAGCACAATAAAACCTCTGAGACAGAGAGGATTTTAAATGTTTATATATCTATGTCCATTATGTTCCTAACAAATGCATTCAATCAAACTCTTGATTCTCTCTTAGGACCGGAACAGATCATTCAGACAGACGGGACGACCCCCTGTGCTTTTAATTGAGCAGATCATTTCAAAGTAGCCCAGTTTCAGATCTCCTTTCATATATGACACGATCACACATGGACACATTGAAATATCTCAATGTCTAGCGCCCCGTTTGATGTGAAATGGACTACTGTCCTATTTTGATGCTATTATAATAACAGTAATCATTTGTGGTATTTATTTTAACGCTCTTCCAAGTGCTCAACCACATATGACATATATTAGACATGTACTGTAATACGTTGAATACTGTGGACAATACCCACTGGATAAATGTAGGGGGATGTTTCTTGACTGCAGTGGGGGTTAAGGTGGGAAGGGTCTTCCCTGGACCCCTGGTCTGAAGATCAGCACGCTAACCCACTGCAGTTCATTGATTCCAGATAACTATGTTTTATAAAAGATGGTCAGGATGGATGAGCATTCTTCTGACTTGTTATGCTGTAATATTAGATATAGATGGATATATAGATACTTTATTGATCCCAAATTGGGAGATTAGTTTGTTACAACATCAGTGTGTTCAGGTATTAACATATTTAAAGGGTGGAATAAAGTATATACATAATAAAATAAAAACATTAAAAGCATATATACAGTAAACATACAGTATCTACAGTAGTAGAAAAAGACATACAAACAAATACACAATACAAACAATTTAGA